TATAGCTGTATGACATACATCTTTAGGGAAGGTTATCAATATCGGACTTGGTGTAGTTGTATGACAAACATCTTTAGAGAAAAGTTATCAATATCGGAACATGGTGTAGTAGTACGACGTACATCTTTAGAGAAAAGTTATCAATATCAGAACTTGGTGTAGTTATATGACATACATCTTTAGTTAAAAGTTATCAATATCAGAACTTGGTGTAGTAATACGACGTACATCTTTAGAGAAAAGTTATCAATATCGGAACTTGGTATAGTAGTATGACATACATCTTTAGGGAAAGTTATCAATATCGGAACATTGTATAGTTGTATGACGTACATCTTTAGGGAAAGTTATCAATATCAGACTTGGTATAGTAGTATGACAAACATCTTTAGAGAAAAGTTATCAATATCGGAACTTGGTATAGTTGTATGACATACATCTTTAGGGAAAGTTATCAATATCGGAACATGGTATAGTTGTATGACGTACATCTTTAGGGAAAAGTTATCAATATCAGACTTGGTATAGTTGTATGACATACATCTTTAGTAAAAGTTATCAATATCAGAACTTGGTATAGTAGTATGACATACATCTTTAGAGAAAAGTTATCAATATCAGACTTGGTATAGTTGTATGACGTACATCTTTAGGGAAAGTTATCAATATCAGACTTGGTATAGTTGTATGACATACATCTTTAGTTAAAAGTTATCAATATTAGAACTTGGTGTAGTTGTATGGCATACATCTTTAGGGAAAGTTATCAATATCGGAACTTGGTGTAGTAGTATGACATACATCTTTAGGGAAAGTTATCAATATCAGACTTGGTATAGTTGTATGACTAACATCTTTAGGGAAAAGTTATCAATATCAGACTTGGTATAGTTGTATGACGTACATCTTTAGGGAAAGTTATCAATATCAGAACTTGGTATAGTAGTATGAATAACATCTTTAGAGAAAAGTTATCAATATCGGAGCTTGGTGTAGTTGTATGGCATACATCTTTAGGGAAAGTTATCAAAATCAGACTTGGTATAGTTGTATGACTAACATCTTTAGGGAAAAGTTATCAATATCAGACTTGGTATAATCGTATGACATACATCTTTAGGGAAAGTTATCAATATCAGACTTGGTATAGTTGTATGACATACATCTTTAGAGAAAGTTATCAATATCAGACTTGGTGTAGTTGTATGGCATACATCTTTAGGGAAAGTTATCAACATCAGAACTTGGTATAGTTGTATGACATACATCTTTAGGGAAAGTTATCAATATCGGAGCTTGGTGTAGTTGTATGACTAACATCTTTAGGGAAAAGTTATCAATATCGGAACTTGGTGTAGTTGTATGACATACATCTTTAGGGAAAAGTTATCAATGTCAGAACATGGTATAGTTGTATGACATACATATTTAGGGAAAAGTTATCAATATCGGAACTTGGTATAGTAGTATGACAAACATCTTTAGGGAAAAGTTATCAATATC